GGTGTGTAGATGGGAGCTCTGGTGGTGTAGTGCCTAAGGCATTTGACTGCTAACCAGAAGGCTGGTGGTTCAAACCCACCAGCCACTCCTCAGAAGGAACGTTGGTCAATCTACTTTCATAATGATACCGCCTCAGAAACCCAAGGACAGGTCGCTATGAGTCGGATCCGCCTCAACGGCAGTCAGTTATTTATTTATTTATTTATTTTTTGGGTATGTGGATATTGTTTCTCAATATCACACACACACACACACAAAATTCCTGGGTAGCAATAGCTATTTTTAATCCAAGCCAGTTGATTTCTTATTAATCAGACCACCAACTTTGATTTTTATCCCATTAATGACTTCCAATATATTGAAAGGATATGTTGTCTGTCCTTCCAGGCCATTCTGTCTGTAACATCCAATGCAACTTCTCCTTTGCTGCCTTAATAATCTCCCTGAAAGACCATTTTGGGTAAATCCTCCCATGGTCCATTGACTCTATAACGTACTCCACTAGCTGGTAGCACATTCAAAGGAGAATTTCACAGGAGTTATATGGAGGACCATGTTAGCACCAGAAGGCCCTGCCCAGTAATACGATTTTTCTTCACAGGATGAAATCCCTCCCCTGCCCCTTAACTTGCTTTGGGTAGGAAAAGGTATGTGACCTCGGTTCCATCTCTTTCAGATTGGCTCCTATTTTGGGGCCTCTCTCTGCTCTGTGGACTTGGACATGGATGGCAACACTGACCTGGTCCTCATTGGGGCTCCCCATTACTACGAGCAGACCCGGGGGGGCCAAGTGTCGGTCTGCCCCTTGCCCCGGGGGGTGAGTGACTCATGAAGCCTGGGTTGGATGGGTTCCGGGTGCGGGGTTGCCCCCCTTGGGGCTTGACACTGGTTTTCTTCAGCAGAGGGCCAAGTGGCAGTGTCGGGATGTTCTCCGTGGAGAGCAAGGACATCCTTGGGCCCGCTTCGGGGCAGCCCTGACAGTGCTGGGGGATGTGAATGGGGACAGGCTTACAGATGTGGCCATCGGGGCACCGGGGGAGCAGGAGAACCGGGGTGCGGTCTACATATTTCATGGAGCATTAGGACAGAGCATCAATCTCTCCCACAGCCAGGTAAGGCCGGGTTGCTGTCCTCATCATGACAGTAACTGCTCCAATCATCTGCCCCCTTTTAATAAATGTTCTCAAAGCTGCTAGATCTGTTCTCCCAGGACTCCTTTCCAAAACCTTCAGAAATCTTTCAGAAATAATAACACACACTGCACAGAAACCTCAAAGTATCCTCTAGTTAATTTGCACCACAATATAGGAAGGGCATTGGGCGCGATCATTACATACACTTTAGCCACGAGTGGATCAGGATGATGATGGCAAGCTGGATGTGTTGGGATGGAACTCCTTTCTTTTGAATTAAAATTCTGGCAGGTGACTGCCTAGTGGTTTGCCCAGGTCCATTCCAGTTTTTAGCACTGACAGTCCCACATCCTGGAAAGCTCTTATGGTTGGTCACCCTATTGGATATGCACACTGATGGATGTGCACCTTGTACAGTTACAAAACGTCCACTCTCAGAAGGGTCTTGCCCTTGGATGGATGCTCTCCTGTCCCCATCCTGAAATTCTTAATGATGTTTGAACACAGGGCTCCATATTTTTCTTTTGCACTGGGTTCTGCAACTTATGTAGCCCTTGCTGATGGGTTGTCACATTGCATCCTAGTCTCCACAACTGATTTCCTCTCTCAAATGGCGCCCTGTTTCCTGCCATGTGGAGCCTGCTCTGTGGAGAGACCCTTCCCGTTTGCTTCAGTCTCACCTGTGCCATATTCTCTCTCACTGATGTCAGCTAAGGCCATCTCCATCACCTGGTCTCAATCTCCGCCTCTTTTTCAACCTCATGTTTTTGTCATTTCCTTTTTCTCTCTTTACCCTTGCTTCAGAAAGCTGGCGGTTCAAACCCACCAGCCACTCCTCGGAAGGAAGATTGGGCGATCTACTTCCATAGTGATACCGCCTCAGAAACCCAAGAAGGGGTTGCTATGAGTCTGTCAGACTTGACCGCCTGTAACAACAACAACAATAAAACTGAAAAACCAAACCTGTTGCTGTTGAGTTGATTCTGACTCATGGTAATTATATGTGTTTCAGAGTAGAACTGCTCTATAAAGTTTTTGCTGCCATCTTTACGAAAGCAGATCACCAGGGCTCTCTTCTCTGGAGCCATTGGGTGTGTTTGAACTGTCAACCCTTAGGTTAGTAGCTGAGTGTACACTACTTGGGCCACCCAGGGACAGGACCCCACCAATGGGGGTTCTGATTTAATTGTTCTGAGGTTGGAACCTCAGGTATCACTAGAATATTTCACATTTTATTTGAAAATCTTTCAAATATACAGCTAAATTAAAGGAATTTCACAGTGAACACTGATATATCTACCACCTCCAATGTATCATGAACATTTTACTTTATTATCTTATTATCTCATATTCATCCTTCTAGCCATCCATCAGTTCATTTTATGTATATTTCAGTGCCCTTAAAAGCTGTAGTTTCTGTCATGTTCCACCTAAACTTCAGCATGTATATTTACTAGAATTCAATACTTGTTCACAGTTTTTTGTTTTAGCGAAACACACACAAATTTTAGCGTCTTTTAGCCTTTCAATGAGTTTTGACAAACGCATACATCTGTGTTACCTGTACCTCTATCAAGACACTGAAGATCATTATTATCCAGAAATTGTCTTTCTGCTCCTTCTCTGTCACTTCCTGTCCCTAACCGTACCCCAGAGGCCACCATTGGTCTGATTATTTTCCACCAAAGACTAGTAGAACTTCATTTAAATTTAACAATATAGTATGTAGGTCCTAGTATTTTATTTTATTTTTTAAGTTCTTTAGGTACTGAGAAAGCTCTCTTACCCATTTCTCTCTGGGTGACAGAGCCTCTCTCCATAATTATATAAGTATTATTATTATTTTGTTTCTTTTCACTGGTGCCTGCTATTTTGCAGTGTAAATGGAGATTAAAGATTCTGGTTTTATTTTATTTTTATTACAAAGGCTTTATGTTCTTGTTGTAGAAACTGAAAAGTCTGAAGTTAATAGTGAAAGCCCTCATCCCCATCATAACTCACCCTCCAAAGGAAAACAAGAGTAAGAGACAGTACTTCATACATCCACAGTTACATGTTGACTTTTGAGATTAAATAAATACAAAAAGGATCATTCTGTCCTATTTTCCTGTTTGCATTCTTCATTTCCTTTTTTCCTATGTTTGAGGCTGGGTGGGGTGGGTCTTGTGTAAGTGTTCGGACAAGCCAACAGGCTGTGAATCTCCAAATGAACGCATCATTTCGAAATACGACTTCCTCCCAACAGAATACAATAACTTTTTTTGTCTTAAAATTTTTGATGTATGATAAATATACATGTAGTAAGCACACAAATCTTAAGTGATGAATTTTTACATGTGTGGAAACCCAAGTAACCACCACCTAGATTAAAAAACCTCAAAACTCACAGCTGTCAAGTAGAATCCGACTCAACTACCCCTCCTTGGGTTTCTGAGGCTGTGTCTCTATGGAAGTAGGTTGCCCAATCTTCCTTCAGAGGAGTGGTTGGTGGGTTTGAACCGCCAGCCTTCTGGTTAGCAGTAGTGCCTTGGCACCATGCCACCAGAGCTCCCCCTCTTGATTAAGACAGCATATTTCCAGCAACCCATGTTTCCCATTCTTCTTTCCAGTTATAAAATCCCTTTAAATTTTTCTTTTTACTATTTGAGTGCTATTTTTTTCAGTGTCATTTGTGCACACAGTTTAGATTGAAACAATTCTAAAAGGCTCATTGTGAAAAAAGAAAAATCCAACAATTATTTCCAACACACATTTCCCCTTCTCTCAAGGAAACTTCTTCCAGCTCTTTCACTGACTCTCAATACTTCCAAGTAATATGATAATTTTGCTACTTCTTGATTTTTGTTTTAGCAATGATTTCCCACTATGGGAGGTGAAGATTGAGTTCTCAGTTCTCCTCCTACCACACATTAACACCCTTTCCATCCCCCACCCTCCTTTTCTTATATTTATACAATAATTTTGGTTAGATCAATATTCAGTGTTTACATTATTTTGACCATGTTAGTGACTGACAATCAGCTCAGCCAAATATATTATATTATGCTAATTCTCTTTTCCTATAAATTTTTTGTTTTCCCTGGAAAACCCAAGTAATCGATGAAAATTTTAGGTATTATCTTAAGATGGTGGTATAAGGTGAATAGTTCCCTTAATTCCTTAGGAAGTGAGACTTGAGTGGAGGCCAGAGAACCTCAACTTAGGGGGTCACCCTAGGGGACTGAAGCATGCATTTTCCTATTATTATTATTTTTCACTCCTTTTCTCCCCTCTTCTTGTTTACCTCAGCGGATTGCAGCCTCTCAGCTTTCTCCCAATCTCCAGTTTTTTGGTCAGTCGCTGAGTGGGGGCCAGGACATCACGTTGGATGGTCTGGTGGACCTAGCTGTAGGAGCCCAGGGGCGTATGTTGCTACTCAGGTGAGAATCCCTTTGGAGAACACCAGGTATCCTCTCTTAAAGGAGTATTTTTGCTGTCTGAAGGCCCTTGGTTGTTCTCTGGTGTCCCTGCAGGTCCCAGCCAGTATTGAGAGTCAAAGTAACCATGGACTTCACACCCAAGGAAGTGCCAAGGAGTGCATTTGATTGCCGTGACCAAGTGGTGGGGAACCGGCATGCTGGGGAAGTCAAAGTCTGCTTCCGTGTCTACAAAAGCACACGAGACCGACTGAGAGAAGGTGAGGTTTGGTGAGTAAGTCTCAAGAAGTTAAATCACAACCACATCTTCTGGCAGTCTAGAACTCAGTTCTCAAAGGCTCTGATAGGCCTTCTTTAAGGTTGGCTAGAGTCAGCAGACTATTTCCCCACCCAGAAAACCCCACCAAAGAAGTGAGCATGTAACTCTCCCTCATTCTCTCAGTTCTCCAGAGAACCAAGGACCCCATATCTGTAAACCAAGTAGGGCTTTTTATCTGAAAGAGAATTCTTTAAAAAAGAAACTGAGTCAATAAAGCTAAACAGAAATCCACAAAGCATTCAGCCATGTATTTTGTCACAACCAGCTTGACTTCTTCCTTTGTCTCTATTCCTAAAGAATGTCATGATGATTGAAGTGGGGGAATAGTGATGGTAATACTTGAAAGAAACAAGGTTGAGGGGGGATACAATTAACTTTATAGAAGCAGTCTTATTGGCCTAAACAGACAGCAGTCAGAATTTTGGGCAGTCAGCATGGCTGGAAATGGAGAGGCAAAATCCTAGAGAGTAAGGGATTGCAGAGAAAGTACCCCAAGATCTACATAGAAGTTCCTGTCAAGTCATTGGCAGACTCCTAACGCATACATGCTCAGGTCAGTACTCTAGGAAACCCCTTAGAAAACCATAGTTGCAAAACTGAAGAGCTGAGCAGAGAATTCAGCAGATTTCCAGCGCTTAGGAGACATCAATTTGAGAGGATTCTTGGTAAACATCTGGGTCTTTTCATTGAAACAACTGACTGGCAACCAAGAGAAACAATGGACAGTAGAAATAGACCCATGGGTGATTCAGAGATTAATGTTATTAGATAGGGATTTAGAAATAATTAGTATCTTCAAGAGTATAGAAGAAAAGAAGAAGAATTTCAGCAAAGAACTGGGATCCATAAAACAGTTGATTAGTAGCAAAAAGAAACAATAAATGATAGAAACAGACTCACATTTGATTTAGAAATTAGAGCTATCAGATAAGGACCTTAGAATAATTACAATGAAATTAAAATTAAATGAAAAATAGAAAAAGAATGAGAACTTTGACAGAGACTTGAAATTCATACAATAGATTCAAATGGACACTCTAAAACTGAAAAGATACAATGACTAAAATTAAGAATTTAATAAATTGGTTTAATAGCAGATTAGAAGCAGAACAGAAAACTAGTGAATAAGAAGACAGGCCAATTGAAGGATTCAAATTAACACACAGAGAAATAAGGATGAAAAAATAATAAAAAATGTGTGGGCCATGGTAAAAAAAAAAAAAAAAAAAAAGCTAACAAGTTAATTGGAATCCCAGAAAGAGAGAAAGAAGAAAGTAAGAAAGAAGCAATGAGATCCAGGCA